AGCATACACAAGAAACCCAAAATATACTCAAATATACACGTGTCCTTGACAAACTTTTTAACTCAATATTTTGCAACATATATATTTTAATATAAATAAATATAAAATTATAAAATTATGAAACTATATTTAACGTCCTTCATTCGTCTTTAAATAATGTAATCTATTTTTTCTGGTTGAATTTCGATTATCGAAGCAGCCTGTACATTACGTCAAAGATCGACCTACGTCGCCATTTTTCCCCTATCCGTGTTATTATCTCATTTGGACGGGACACTCGGTCGAGATCGGTAATAATTCCTCGGTCTTGTAAGGGGCGAGAAAAACGATTAAAGGTTTCCGTAATTATTTTCGTTCGTCGATTGAATAAACGTTACTCCCGAAAGAGGAGGGTGAGGGGTTAGAGGGGCAGCTTCAATTAGGATTACTCTGCCTTTTCCGCGGAACCCAGCATTAAATACAGTTTAATGAGCCTAATGGTACTTTAATCCTTCCCCGTGAGGACGCCTTTGAAGTACGGTTCGCGATCCCCGAAGAAAACTCCATAAGCCGGGAACAGATAGCGCTCTACGAGACGCGTAGTCTCTCCTTCGTCTTCGTTCCCGTCCCACGGACTTTCGTCTGTCTAATAGCTAACCCCTTGTCGTATGATTTTCCTCGCAGCCATGCTCTATAGATTTATATTTCGGAATTTCTTAATCTTTGAAGCTTGTAAAAAGAGTTTAAAAATTTCAGATTCTGGAGAGATGTATTTGGCAGTTAGAATATGTGGTAGAGGAATATTACTTTGCCTATAATTAGGGGATGAAAAAGAGTGCTACGAATGGACTACAGATTTGCATATTAAGTCACTGTCTTATAATTTTCTCCGTAGATATACTGATTAAAGTTATTTTGTAGTTGATATTATTTTTATAATTATATAATAGAAAAATTCTTTTTTATTTCGATTATAGAAAAGTGTATTTTATTTTTTGTTTTCAGGTTAAATGGCAAACCTTCATTATGAGGTACACTCGGTATTATAAGGCAACGGTTTAGCTTTATACTTTTTTAAAAAATATCCTTTCAAAATTGCTGTCGAACTGTTGCACGCTTGAATAAAATCGTTCTGTACAAAAATAAATTTGGATATTTATCCGTGGTCTTCGTTAATTAGAAAATTAGACGGGTCAAGTGTAATTGTCATATCGGTGTCTCGAAGGTTATGCCCGACTCGCTCGCTACTGTTCATCTCATTAGCAGCATCACCGTTATTATCCAATTAGTATTGCGCAACGCTTATCGTGCACGGTGCTCGGAAAACGGAAGCCGGGTATTAGAAAGTTTTATGAGAAGCATGCATTATAGAATTAATTGTATAACTCCGGGAGATTTTTCTCGCTGCGCATATTCTTGCAGCGATGCTGGTTATTGTGGAAGAATCATCGATCGTTGATTAAAATTGATAGGGAAATTTAATTAAATCTTAAGGAATTTCAATTTCAGATTAGCATTAATTTGATATGTGATAAGATATTATTATTGAGGCGATGATCGTATAATAACTAGAAAATGGGATATGGGCATTTATGCAAATTCACGCTTTTAAAGAAAAAAAACAACAGGAAATCGAACCTTGTTGAATTATCCATTCTAATTAAGTTTCAATACAAAATTATAGAAACTGTGATTTATGTACCTTAATAATTTACACTCGTAACAAACTTAATGATGAACAATACATAAATCCGTTTCTAAACTTTACTAAATTGCATATATTATAGATACATGAAATTCGCAATTCCATAATGAAGTACAATCTCCGACACTTAATAGAAACATTACTATACTCACTATCCAGAGATAATGTCCGACGAATAAGATTAATGAATTCAATAAGCCAAGTTGAATATATGAGGAAATATTTATTTCCCGAATAACAATTTCAAATTGGAACAGTTTCATTTATCTCATAATTAACAAACGTTTATGAGTGTTCTCGATTATTTCGTGGAGGTAATTATCAGATTGATGTTCTAGTTTCATCCAGCTGTCCTGCTCCGGTATTTAATTATGTTGTAATAATGAAACGGGGAAAATAACTATTTTACGGCGGTGCCGTATTGTGCTGGAAGACAGGTGTAGATTTATGCTCGCGCCACTCTTTAAGATTTAACTACCCTATCATTCACTGTTCACAGACGTGAATCCGCGAACGCGTGGCCGTCGCATCGGGTAATCTGAATGATTATCGCGGCTCCGCAATAAAACCTTGAATCACTCGAACGTGCACTAGCGACGCTAGCCGTCGAGTACGTTCGCCGATTATCCATCGCGCTATTCCATTACCAGGCATCGCTGCAATTATTATCCAATTAGTAGCGTGTAACGGTTAACGCGTATACCGTTTCGAAAACCAAAACGGGCTCTGCACGCGCAATCGGCGGTTACCTGAAAAATCCAGAAAATATGGGATGGACAAAGATCGGGATATACGTGGGACGATGGGAATAGGGGAGAATATGGGAGGCTTGAAGGAACTGTCGAAAGCGATATCGACAACAATGATGAGACGTGATAATAAAAAAATAATTCTTAAATGGGGAAACCTTGAAGTACTCAAGAAAGATTATATAAGTATTTAACAGAAACTAACAAGATTATTCGAAACATGACGAAACTATTCTAAAAAGAAAGCAAAATTTCCATTCAACTCAAGATTCTCTAAAATAACCCATAAAAAGCATACAGGAATCATCTGTTTAATCACAGGAATCGAAGAAAATTAAATATATCTGCTCCTACATCATTGACCAAAACAGTTCAACGATAAAAAATACCAAAAATCCTTTGGCCAAAGAAAAAACAATGATAATCCTTTCAGAAAAGCTACGTGCAAACAATAAATCCGAAAAGGTTAAAGAATACGGATCGAGAGCAGAAACCATAAAAATCCGGTGCAGAATCACTGAAATCAAAAGAGAAGAGGTTAATCTCAAAGGGAGAAATAAAAGTGGTGAAAAGCAAGAACAGAGAGATGTCAAGAGAAAAAGAGGGAAGAGAAGAGAGGAACAGAGAGAGGGAAAGAGAGAGCGAGAGAGAGTAGCGGGGTAAGGTCAGTGCCGTGGACATAATATGGTTAGTGACCGCGTGACGTCACAGCCGCACCACGTGACGCTATAAAACAAGCTGTTCGCTGGAGGGGATGGACAGGGGGTTGTCGGAGGAGCGAATCAAGTAGGCACGGACTGTCCGATTCGCGGCGTCGGAGGGGCGAGGGGATGACGCGTAGTACTACGCCTCGTACTACACGAGCGTGCGTGTGTAAGACGATAACGAGGGATACACGCATTCGCTTGCGGTGAACACGCAGTCCGACGTATACAGGGTGACAGGAGAATGTTGGCTGAAAGCTTTGGCAAAGGTACTCTGTGTTGCACACGAGGAAAGCTGTGGTAGCAATGAAAGTCTAATTGCTCAGTTTGTATCTGTCCTCGTCCCATTTTCGATTCTAATTTGGTATTCGTGCGGTTACACGTAAGCGTTCGAAGCTATAAACAAAACAGACAAGAGACCCTTCATGCTTTAGGCCGTGTCGGAGCTTTTTTTGTGCGTAATAGAATACGTGTTCATTCCAGAGTAAAATTATCGCGAGTTAACGAGGATATTTTTTGCAAGTTCATACTGATATGTACTGTATGTATGACTGGAAATTTTTGGAGGCGTTAGAAATCTTTCTTTATGAAAAAGTAAAGTGGATGTTGAACTTTTAAATAGTAGGATTTCTAATAAGAAAATTCACTGGTCTTTTAATGCTTATGCAGTTAAATTCTTCGGTTGCAACTTTCGATTCTGGAATTTGACGTGGGCACTAGGAGGACGCTAGTTCTCAAAGGGCTACGGATATTCGAGGTCATACTATATATTACTGAGGGGCTGCTATATTACCATATTACTGTATTATTGATAGACTACGGAAGTTATTGCGTTTATAGCACATATAAATATTCATAAAATTATGTTATACGAGATTCTAATCCACTTTATTTCCCACTCACTGAAATGATTCATGAATGGAGTTATAATTTGCGTAATTTTCATCGAGATTACCCATAAAAATGTCCACTTGCATAAGCCGTTGCAATATAATTATCGAGTTCCGACAGAAAGAAGATGATAACCGCTCGTAATTACAGAGTCAACTGTTCGTATCATGAAATATTCAAATCTTAATGCAAACAAGGGATGTTTACACTTTGAAAAACGAAGACTTTGGGACAGGTATTCAAATGATCTTACTTCATTCTTAGAAGAAACAGAATATGCTGCCGAAGTTTAGTCACAAATTTTCCTGTCACCCTATATATTCGAGAGAAAGAGAGAGGAAGACAATGGCAGGGGAATGGAAAGAGAAGGAGAGCAGGGGATAGGGTGCAATAAGAGAGCACGATTAGAGCCGGCTTACGCGCTCAGTCAGGGAGCTCGTGTTTGGAGATCGGTTTAGTCGATGGATACGAACGTTCGACGAGATGTTTCGTTCTTCTACTGTCGTGCTGAAGTTCGGGGCGTCTTTGTTATTTAAATGAATGAAACTTGTCCGCACGCATTCGTAATGAGGTGCAGCAGAGTAGAACAGTTTTTAACAGGTTTTAAGCATATAGCGGTCCTCTTAATCGACGCAGCTAATTTGTGCAATGAATATCATCAATAATTCTATGTCATCAAAATTTCCATCGAATTCTATTTAAATACGTGTATAACAATTTCAATACGTAGATACTTAACACTTAAGTCACACTTAACTCACGGTGAAACACATCGACATTTATTTGATCCAATCGTCTTAGTTCATGGCAAGATCGGGGAAGAAAGTATTTACACCGTAAAATCAGAATAATTTGAGCCTAAAGTTCATAAATAACGACGAAAGCAATCCTAATTCATAATTATATAATTCTGTTTTAACGAATGGGGGTTGAACTCTAATAAATATTGCACATTATTACTTTGTGTTTTAGACGTTCATACATAAATGCGAATGCAATATGAAGTCTGCAGTTCGCTAATGAGCGTGGCAAGAGGAAAAGGGAGAGCACGTGAACATCGGAGGGCGAGTCTGTAAAAAAGGGAGAGGCGGAGGGAGGGCAGAAAGATTCGCATGGAGGAGCGATAACGAATTCTGCAGGATGAGTGATAGCTTCCGTATCGAGAAAGGATGTCGCGTATGCGTGGGTGGACAACGTAGACGAGGCCATGGACATATTTTCTTTATCGCCCCTGTTGCGGATTTAGACGGCACGAACCAGGAAACGCGACTGTCTAGAATTATCGATCACGTTTCGTCGATTATAAATGAGCAGAGATCCCGCGTTACGGGCTCCGTCAGGTGAACGAAGATTAACACGTTGCTAATGAGAATTTCTTCGGCGACATTTCCTGCAGGAAGACGAAACACGTAAGGTTTTACCTTATTTTACTATAACAACGTTTACACTTTACTTGAACTGGTAGAACATTAGACGACTATTTACTTGATAATGAACTATATAATTAATATTATTTCAATAATGGCAAGTTTGCTACAGGTGTTACACATGAATATTCCCGGTGTCCCTGTCATTCCCTTTTTTGTGTTCTTTATTCGAAGTTCGAATTATATCGATATCAAAATATGAACTTCCCGTCTATCTTGAACATATGACGCCCTGGGAAACCATTTACCCAACCTGTGCCTGTTAAGCCGTGTATAGCTGGCCTTTGAGAGTAGGGGTTGTATTCGTAGCTTCGGGTGCCATTGCCAGCGTTGAAACCAATCTAATACAGAGGAAAATGATTTCAATGTATAATAAAGTACTGTTACCAAATCTACATCCTTAGTTGTACACGATCATAAGCAACAATCTTAACCATGTTTCTAAAAAATAAACAGTAACATTTGCAACTTACGAAAGCAGGTACACCGCCCTCACCATCAACAACATCGCCGCCAGCCTCTGTGTGACTGGTCCACTGAATATTCAAGTAATTGAAAATGGCGTAAGTGGACACTTCGTCTGTGGCCAAAACCATCTGGAAACTGTTCGTCTTGTAAAGGGAGTTATCGATACCACCGGCGAATGATACGTTCTTCCACGTGACTATAATAGCGTGTTTCGGTTCGAACGACTCAGAACCAATTATCCCCTCGCGGATGTCCCATTTTAAACGCTCCCGCAGCTCGACACCGAACTGGTCTTTCCTCGTTTGTAGATTTGTCTCGAGTCTGAAACGTTTCAGTGTATGGTGCTGTTCACGCAAATGTTCACTGTCTACTCACGAAGTGAAGCTTCATATACCTAAAGTAGACACCCGGCAGTCTTTGGTCTACATCACTCCTTCTTATGTTTCCTATTCGGCATTTGCTGAAGAATATTCCTATAAAACTGGGATCATTCACTTTCGGCCAATTTTTCACGGGGAATACTAGGGGGTAAATGTAGTGCTCGGGGGGATCGCTGAACTCTAAGTAACCATTCAGAGATACCTAGAAGGTGAAATGATTCTTTATTGCTTTTTTCCTTCAAGATTAGTATAGAGTATAGAAGATCCATCGTCTTCGTACTCTGGTGTAATTGAATTTAAACCCGAAGAAGGGCAGCTGGAAATTGAAATTCTTGCGTATCTGAAGTGTTGACGATTGAATTTGTTTTTGATAATCGCCTAGATTGTTGTCGCCACCTTTATCAAAATACCAGTACATAAACTGCGAACGGATTTCGTTCAATCGCGCTTCAGTTAAGTGATAACCAGAAACTGAATCTGATGGACAGGGCGCGTACCTGTTCGCTTTCGGTGACTCCGAATCTGCGGTAATTTGTTAAAAATATAAAATATTTATGATTCACTACAATATGGATATCGAATATCGCATAACATTTCAAGTTTCAATTCAAATATTAGTTAAACATGGTAAACATCGAAGATATAAGTATGTATCACGTTTTCCATATTTTTAGAGTCGAGAACTTAAAATAAAGCAATAATAATGAACATATATGTTATCATTACGTAAGTACTGATGGTCCAATGATTCATTTGTGATTTACGTTCGTGCAGTAGACTGATAAAGTAGATAAGATCGGATTCGTTAGTGCAGAAATATAGTAAATAACGATTCTACATGGTACATATGCCAAAAATACAGGTTCGAAAAAAAACATATGCCTGTTCTAACGATAAAAAAGAAAGAAACAAAAATTCGGGTGAATTAGTCCTGAGAGAATTAACCTCGAAATTTTGAATGATGAAACAAAGCGTAAAAGATAGTGATCACGTACATCGATATCGAAAGACTCATCATATCTTACATACTTTTTGCTTTTTTCTCCGCTCGCTCTACCGGAAATACCTTCAGAATACATGATTTCGTCCTCCGGTTCCGAAACGACGTCGACGTTCAACGGAATTTCATCCTTTTTCCATTCGTCCATCTCCCCAAAAACGTTTTCATCGTCGGTTAGGTCCTCTAACTCTTCCGGTGCCTTCTTCACCGATGCATCTGCAATATTCGAATCAACACATTCGGCTCCATCCAATCTGAACGCATTTTCGAAAGTCTCCTCCTCCTGGGCCAAGGTACGACTCGCCAACGACAGTAAAAGGCATCCGAGAAGGATCGACTTTGCGAAACCGTGAACGCGGTCAAAGCAAAGTTCGTTTCGCATTTTTAATAAGTCCCAGAATAGATGAACCTATTCGTCTAGTACGTCTAAATACACTGAGCCTCGCTTTAGGCAGCGAAGTCCTCTTAACGGGACCGGTATCAGTTATATCACGATAACACGGGTTTTTTTTCTTTCTGCAGGTGGACAAGGTACTGTAACAACTGAGACGAATGAAATAAATGAAATGATTATGTACTACATATATTCTACCTTTTCCAATTAGTATAACACGACGCACGATTACTGTATGTTCGTGGTTTTGTTCTAATTAGCGTTATTAATTACAGAAGCAATAGGCGCAGTATATTTTTGTAGGGAGCTTCGACGATGATGTTTCGAAAGACATAAATGTTACATGTGTCCCTTGTAACTAAAATTAACAATTGAAAAAGTTTCGATTTAAGTAAATTGTTTATTGTATTTTTGGAACGTCCTGTTTTTACTTATCCACTTATTTGATTGTATACGAATTACCAGAGTTTACTGTAAATCGAATTTGAAATAAAACTGCCATGTCATGTAACTACCTCCAGGAGTATTCCCCGGCTCATTGAGAAACGTAAGACCGAATAGGATTATCCGCAGAAGATCTACGTTATATCGTAGCAACTGATACTGATAATCGGCGCTCTAGCTATACCCTAGGTCGAGCAAGTTCGAGGAAGGAATCGACTCTGACGGTTAAGCTCTGAATATTCTAGTTCGAAAACGGGAATGCAATTGCGAGTTTTAATAGTGCATTCCAGGGACTTCCGTTTTACTGTCGTGAGTTCGCGATAAGACGTATGAATATTTCACTAAGGTGGGCAGGGGAACGCGCTACATGGGCGGACGGTGGGGCAGAGGGGGGTTGAGTATTTTAGAAGCGAAATTTGAGGGGTAATAATGCAGGCTTACGGCGCGCATTCGACATAATGTATTCCTGGATATTTCGACGTCTCGCGTCTCGCTCGTACAATTTCCCCGATACGCATCTGCAATTCAGATGCGGGCCGCGTCAATCTGATCGCTGCGGAATAGTCTGCATTGACAGGATATTGTCATTCTTTCGAATAGACTTTTTAAAGCGGTCCAGCGAGAAAGAAGGAGTGTGAGAGAGAGAGAGAGAGAGAGAGAGAGAGAGAGAGAGAGAGAGAGAGAGAGAGAGAGAGAGAAAAAATTGAATTCGAAGATCCGCTGTAAGATCGAAGTAACTGCGAACGGTGCGATTCTGTCAGACGAAAATAATTCGACAAAGGTTGCATGGCAGTTTAGAAAAAAGATGAACTTTTCTGTTTTTATTCTCGGACCTTCAGTTTTAGAGAAAGATTAACTTAGGGTTTAGGGATTGATCATGATATTCTTGGTTCGATTAATATTCTTGTTCTTCTCAGTTTAAATAGTATATAATAAACGATGGATTAGAAATGAATACCGATAAATAAATATTTTATTCACGTAAGTCAAAACATTACTAATTTTTTATGCTTATCTGAAGAAAGGATTGGAAGAAAATTTTGTAACAGGTGGTTCTATGATGTATTGTCCTAACTCATGAAGCTACTTATTATGTAATAATTAAAAAATTGGCTTAAACATTGAGGAACCGATATTGTCGTCAGCGAAATTGTCGGCGAGGGGTTGATAAAGAGAGAAAACGGGGATGGAGAAAGAAAAGGAGAGGGGCTGGAAGACGGCTAATGGAAACGTCAAAATGTAACGCCGCTACGGAGCACGTATAAACGCTCGGTTGTTCTGTAATAATGCCGGTATTGTTGAGCTTATCAAGTGAGGCTAATTGGACGCGAACAGCTGGGCCGGCTAGTTGCTGTTCTACGACGCTCCGAAGCGACCGCCGCCTCTACTTTACACTGATAATGTAATGGGACCTATCTGGAACACAAAAGCCGGCAATAGTTTAATGGATTTGTCTCGAATTGTCACCGAGCGTCAAAACAAACCGGTGGTCGGGCTGGGGGACCATGAATTGTTCCCTCGACAATGCTCCATATTAAATGCATAATTATTGCAACGCAAGCTGTTAACGTCGTAGATGCGTATTCGTGCGTGCGATCGGTGCCCTGTTGCGATTATCGTCCGCGGTTATGTGACTATGTATATTTCAGTGCTAAGTAGTTTCGATCTTATTTTGTTTATTATGTATCGTGAAAGCCTTCAGGTTTTCGTTGTGCATTCTATGTAATCCAATCGTGACAAGAAGATTATGGATTTTATGCAGTATTTTGTAGTATGTCAAGTGGAACTCGGAACTTTGAAATTGTAGCCAGGGCTTAGTAAGTTGGAAATTTGGAGTTCTAGGCTTAGAGCTTTAAGATTTAGAGTTTTGATGCTCAATTTTAAAATTAACAGTTAGAATTTTAGGGTACTGAAATTAGAGTTTAGACACTTGGAATTTTAGTGCTTTAAATTTGTGTATTCCATAGTATTATAGAGCTTTAAAACTTAGAACCGAGGGATTTATAGCTTTTGATTTTGACATTTGAATCGAACATGAATTCTGACTGTTTAGAATGCAAAATTTGAAACGTTGATTACATTATTCTTGTTTAATAAAGATGCTTGTGTTCGCTGTAAGAACACGCTTTGACGTTTCCCAAACGAATAGTTGCGAGCGCGGGCAAGTCGTGTAAATAAATCACCGTTTTATTTATTTACGTAGTCGTGACTTCGTCTAAGTAAAACTATTCTCCGTTTACGAGAGAAGTCATTTGCCCGTCCGGGCGAACGTCGCTTCGGGAAACGTCATTAAGGATCGTTCGCCATTAAGCACGCGAAGGGGACAGGAGTAACGTAGAAACACGAGGCTGCATACACTTCCTGCTAGAAGGCAGGCTCGTTTGTTAATCGCGACGCAATCGATAAATATTAATGCCACACAATTAAGAATAAATACACCATTAGAAGGATCAATATTTTCAATCCTCCAACTCTGGAAATTAATTAACATTTAATACGATTATTAAAATGGGGTTTTTCCGCGCCACGAACGGTTCCCTGATGATTTACTGAAAGTCTTATTGACTCGTTTAACGATCGATCCTCGCATATGGCCGTTTATCTTTACATCTTAATTACAAAAGCACAACTGCCGGAACTGTTTGCAGAAAATCAATACATCGAATAGGAAGTTTACTAAGCAATTACTCTCTTTTATTTTTATGTATAGATAACTAGATAAATTGTATCGTGCAACATTCAATGTCAACGTTTAATTATATCTCATCGTGTATTGCGAATCAAGTTGCTTCGATTGACGCATCATCTACAGATTACACGAGCACTTTATTTATATGTAGTTAAATGTACACACGGAAATTAATGATTTCGTAAGACCATTCGAGAATAATGGTAAATATCGATGGACTTATATTATTCAATTATACAGTTTTGTAAAGACGATCAGCACAAAAAGAACACAGTTATTATCGAATTCAATTAAAGTTCCACATATAGAGTCATTTTACCTATTAACAATTTCTTCGTTCATTCACAGTACCTATTTTACACACCGAATATAATTAAGTTCCGTTGGCAGTTGCAAATCACTCGTGATATTAAAAACTTCATTTCAAAAAACACTTGAAAATCTCAAACAATTTTAAAGTACATATTAATTATCAACTTTTACACTTCGAAACCACGCGTAGACCACAAACCACCTCATCTGTTCATTAATACGTTCAAGTTTATTGTTGAAAATGGTAGAGATTTTGCATATTTATCTCACCAAGGATCACCGGTTCACGTTGTAACGCAAACAGGATCAAGACTCGCTGTAGTATTATCATTAATACGATGCAAGTGTTTTAATTAACATGCTAAGAAGTAGTGGATTTCTGAATCGCGGCTCGTAATGGGAAGCTGCGCCGCGTTGTCCAGTTATTCAGGGAACTCGTTTCGATGAATATTATGATTCGCCAGCCCCCGGCGCGCTTGTCAGTTACTCCCGTTCCATGGTACACAAAATCAGAGTGCGTCCGCTCGCAGACCTATCGTACGCTCGTAGAACTGGACAGTTACCATAAAACGAACAGTAGAATTAACGCTCCCCGAGGAAAGATGCGATTAATTCGCGGTCTTCACCCGGCGTTACGGAAACCGTGCAAAAGCGGCAGAAGAACGATCGACGGTATTCATGCATCTGTGGCCTGAAAATGATTCAAGACGCCGTGCACGCCGGTTTCTTGCTGCCTCGCGCATCCAGGAAGGAGGGTACGCATCGAAAATAGACATATATTCTTCCCGCGTCGAATCGCCGCGCTCCGCATTGACACGGTAAACGGGCTGTCTGATCGAAATAGACGGTATCTACTTTCTGGAACACGTTGAACACTTGATCCACTTCCGGCAAGTAGTACAAATTGAAATCTTCAAAGGGTGAAATTCAAATCACCGAATATTGTTTTTGTTGTTTCAGAGTTTTAATGGTTTTTACATGAAAGATAACGAAGTTCGTTAATATTAAATTTATGGGGATTTATGGTACAGTTTTCTCAATTGTTCATGGAAAAATTGATACAGTTATATTTGGATCTTGGATATTGGAAACTTTCATTGACACGTTCCATAAGTCTAGTATTAATATTCTTTATATTAATATCAATAATTGATTTAATATCAATAATTCATATTGTCCACAATTCGATGCAGACATGTCGAGACTATTCAAGCAACACGTGCGCTAAGGACAAGCGTTTTCTGAAATTGACATAAATTAAAGAGAAAACTTCGTGGTTTAGTAATCAAATGATCATCACATGTCTAGTAATCAAGCTACAAGTGTTTTTAGCAATTGATATAAATTGAAGAGAAAACTTCGCGGTCTGGTAATCAAACGTTTATCAAATATCTAGTTATCAAACGATTATGAAACACCTAGTACTCAAATGATTATCAAACATCTAGTAATCAAGTTGCAGCGCTGATAAGCTGACAGTCACGAAAACACAGAACCACGCAGAAGTAACATGTCAACCGGTCGTCCCCGGTTAACATGTCAAGCGCGCGTTGGTTATTTCATCCCCTTCGTTTGGCTTAGCTGTAATTGCCCCGGTGGCGGCGTAGTTTTCACGCAA